TAGTTTTCGCTCTAATTATTCATAAGTGAATAAAATGCATCAGATATTTATTACAGTACATTCGTTATTCACTTATGAATAAAAAGTATGCTTATTTTTTTTTTACAATTTCAATATAATTCATATATGTAAAGAACATGTAATAAACTTTTTTCTTATCTAAAATACATTTTTATTCAAATGTGAATAAAAGTGTATCTAATTTTTATTACAGTACATTCGTTATTCACTTATAAATAAATCGTTTAACTATCGATCATATAGAAATAAACAATATATTTGTTATTCACTTATTTTTTAGAGTAAATTACACGAATGGTCCCTATGGTTTGGGGTAATTTGCGTGTTTGGTCCCTAACTTATTTTTTTAACTCGGAAAGTCTCTAATGTTTGTTTTTGTTACGCGTTTGGTCCCTATCTTACCTAAAAAGACTATTATTTAAATAGGAAAAATGGTGAGATATGTAAGGTAAGGTGAGGTGGGTGTGGTTGACGGTTTGTTTATTTAAATAAATTAAAAATCAACGGCAAAATAGTATTTTTAGGTAAGACAGGGACCAAACGCGTAACAAAAACAAACAGTAAGGACCTTCCGAGTTAAAAAAAAGTTAGGGACCAAACGCGCAAATTACCCTAAACAATAGGGACCATTCGTGTAATTTACTCTAATTTTTATTATAGTTTAAGTATTATGAATAATATGTAATAAAGTTTTTTCTTAGCTATAATTTTTTACATCAGCTCTTGTCACGCGTCATAATCACATATCAATAAAACATTTATTAGCTCTTCTCACAAGTTATATTCATATGTGAATAACATATTTATTAGAATTTTGTTATACTTTATTTTTTATTCATATGTGATAAGCAGTTCGAATTTTCAAAACACTTCGTCTTTTATTAACATGCTATTTATTCATATATGAATAACAAATAAAATGTAACATGTGACGAAAGCAGATTTAAAAAAATGTATTTTAGGTAAGAAACGTTATTATATGTTATATTTATATACGGATGATACTTAAACTGTGAAAAAATAAATAAATAAAATAAGCACACATTTTATTCATAGGTGGATAACGAATGTATCATAATAAAAATCTGATGCATTTTTATTCACTTATAAATAACGATAGCTGAAACTATAATAAAATAAAAATTTTATTTTATCTTAAAACTATATCAATATGAGTGGCTATTTATAGAGAATAAAAAGTTATAAATTTTGATATATTTAAAATCTTTTTCGATAAAAGTAGCTCATTAAAAATACATGAAATGAAAAAAATTATGTTTTTGTATATATTAAGGTAATGATTAGCATAACTTAAGCAAACATGTTTTGTTTGAAAACACACGTGTATATATTTCTCCATTTTCGCCGATACGATGAAATATTTTGCGGTAAAATAAATCTTTGACTTATATTGATTCCCTTATTCTCAACATTTTTTCTCAATTGAATCCCTATATATATAATATATATATATATATATATATATATATATATATATATATATATATATATATATATATATATATATATATAGAGAGAGAGAGAGAGAGAGATGTGACTTATTGTGAAAAATTGAGAACTTCTACTCCGCAGTCCATATATATGTTGATTATCAATATTACTTCGGATTATCATATCCGTGTTCGCAGTCCAAAAATATGCATACATGCATATTTAGCTGTGCATATATGCATATTTCCAAAAAACGTTCCTCGAATCCTTTTTATTTTTTTGCATTGATCCCTCTTAGATGCAACATTTGCTGAATATTTCGCTGTATTTTTTGATTGTTGGTCAATGTCTTGACCGTTTGAACCGTTAAATTTTTTAAAATTAATTTTTTTGTATTATATATATATATATATATATATATATATATATATATATATATATTCTTTTTTACTAAACCTTACTCAAATTTCTTTATCTTTCACCATCTTTTTTTGAAAAACTTTCAAGATGTCTTCTCCCAACAAACGAAACGACCAAAAAACATCCACTAGAAACGTAACAAACCCAAGACCTTTGTATGATCAACCGCTTTATTTGTCCCCGTATTACCATTATGGCGGTATGCTGCTGTGTTTTCCACAACAATTTTCAAAACGAACAACACAACCACTTCCACAAACACAACCACAACTCGATCACAATTTTTATCCGTTTGTTTTTTTGTCTCAGCCTGAGTTTGTTCAACAAACACTATCATAACCACGAATACTCATTTCTAATTTCGAACCCGAATTCGTTCAAGAAACTCAACCCACTTCCGAAACAACCAAAAAATACCAACTATAAACACAACCACCCCAAGACCTTCGTATGATCAACAATTTATTTTTTCCCGTATTATCACTATGGCAGTATGCTACTGTGTTTTTCACAACAAATCTCACAACCACAACGACCAACACAGCCACTTCCACAAACACAACCACAACTCGATCACAATTTTAATCTGTTTGATTTTTTGTCATCACAACCACAAATGCTCATTTCTGATTTTGAACCCGAATTTGTTCATGAAACTCAACCCACTCGAGCACTAAGTGAAAGAAAAGAGAAGACGACGGCTAAAGGATGGGAACCCGAAGTAGTGTTAGTATTTGCATAATAATGGATCGATATTTCAAAAGATGCAACGACAGGAAAAGACCAAAAACGTGACCGGTTTTGGATTTGGGTTAGACATAGGTTCCACAAATGAATGAATCTTTGAGATTATCATTCAAAACACCAAGTGTACTCGAAATGAGGGAAGGTGAACAAGGAAGTCATGTTGTTTAATGATTTGTATAACAACATGAATCTTCAATGGAAAAGCAGAGAAAGTGCTGATGTGATTTTGCAGAAAGCGCTAATAGTGTACCTAAAACAAAACAAGAAGGGTTTCATGTTTCTTGGCGTTTGGAATCTCGTGAAAGATAACAAAAAATGGAAAGCGATCAAATCATCCGACGAGCATATCGATAGTGGTTCAAAACGCTCAAGAATATCCGAATCCGACCACACTACATTCGATGCTCGTGTTAGTTTCGACCTCAACGATAATGAACCCATTCAATTTTAACCACCTTCCCGACCAATAGGATGGGACAAAGAAAAAAAACAAAGACAAAAGCAAATCGTCGGATTCAGATGAGTTGAAAGAAATGGGGGCCGATATGAAGTGTATAAAAGATCGAATAGACAAAATTTTGCAACTTGCTTCTGAAAGAGAGCTTTAGAAACAAAGAGATAGTGACATAAGAATACTAACGATGGACACATCGCAGATGATCGGGGAGGAGCTTGAAATTATTTTGGAGATGAAAGTCGATCTCAAAAAAAGTTATGCTCAATAGGTTTTGAGATTTCTAGTTTTTTTTTCTAAGTTTTTAATCGTTTGATGTGTGTTTTTTTTTTTAAGTTTGTAGGTTTAATATTTCTAGTTTTTTTTTCTAAGTTTATAGGATTTTTTAATGTCATTTTTTTTAAGTAATGCAATGTAATGGTTTTTAATTTTTAAGTAATGAAGTTTATATTTTTTATTAAAAATAAAGTTTTCTTTTAAATTAAATTATTAAAAAAATGTGACATCACTCCTTATATACGATAAGGAACCAGACTTTTGTGGTAAAAAATTGACATCACGTTTTCGTGGCAGTGACGGAAGTATGATAAAAATGATACCACTCCCTTCAACCTTATTTACCTCTCACTTATATAAAAAAGTCAAACATACACTCAACGAACTCCCAATAACGATATAACAAGCAATTAAAGGATAAAAATTAGCCTTTCTTGGTCTTTTTTAAAGAGACAGCAGGAGAGTATTCAAAACACACCATCCCCATATTCCAGATTCAAGTGTTGTTTTACACCCCTAGTAGGCTACGTTCAGTTATGACTCAAACCCAACTCAAACCCAGCTTTATACATTACATCTGCCTACCATACCCTACCCCTATCATATCCCTACCCCCAATTGCAAAAAATGTCGGCAGATCGGGAACTAGAGATCAAAATGTCCATAAAAAAACAACTGAGCCCAATGACATATTATAAAGGTACCCTAGAAGGGCATATAACAGATAACACATAAGTGTAATAAGAAAAGGGTAAAAAAACGAGAATGGTATAGCGAGTTGTATATCATGCTGTAAATGTTGTACTACGGTGGAAGGTTTGCTCTAAATTCTAAAACGTAAGGTACACTTTCACGACTAACAATGGAATCAAAAAACACTTGCTAGTAGTTGAGGACACTTGAGATGCTTTCCCTTCATATGAGGTACATTTAATACCCCTCTAAATTATACAAATAACCCATCTATGAATTAGTTTTTGCAAAAAAAATTACTATACTTGCTTCAAGTTGTTCCATATTGTCATGCAACACAAAAGCATCATGTTGTAAATCAGGTACATAGCGACCCACTATATAACATATGGCTATTACAATTGAAACCCTCGCAATTCAATTATCAAGGTCTAAACAATGATTCTAGGGTTATGTTAAACACCGAATATGAAGATTCTAGAATCATGTTAAATACCGAATATGAAAAGGATATTTATGTCTTTTGAAGAGACAAAAAAAATCAACACCAAGTATATGTCACACTTTTGTCCAACCAATTTGTGTAGGAAGATCAATTACATTTTGTTTCGTCTCACATCCCCCTTGTGATACATGAAAAAATGGTAGAGAAAAAATCTACTAGATGTGACGAAGCTAAATCGGATCATAAAAATATTCGTAACAATTATTAGCAAACATCAAGGACACAAACCTAATCACAAAAAAGAACATTCAAGATGACATCCTCCATTATAACAACCATTATATTTCCTAACAAATACATGTATTCACTAAAAAACTAGAAACAACATCACAAATTTTTGCAACACCTGACGTAAAAGCAAAAGCAACCCCTGAGTTGTCACACACTGTCATATCATATGTAAAAAAAAGTACACAATGGCCGACTAGCAAATTACTTCAACGCCCTTCTCCTTCTACCCACTTTAAGATTACTTGGTATTATAGACACATTATCTACACAAATTCCACCTTTCGAGTGCGTGCAATCTATTTGCTTCATTGAAAACCTAATTTCGATTGCAGGATTTGACTCGGTTACAATAAACTCGCCTACTTTATACTCTATCCAACAACCCCTTTTATGGCAACCATTTGCCTCATCCGCGACACAATCATCTAAAAAACATTCGGTCGATGATTCTTGACCGTTGGATGTGGATAGATCAAATCTTACGGGCTTTATATCCCAGCCATGAGTGTGTTCAAAATAGCACACACGACGCCCTAATCTTTTTGAAAATCTTCCCAAATGTATTCTAAATGATAATGTGTAAATATCGGGTGGGAGAGGGAATTTTATGGAACCATCGACTTCGAACCACCATATTTGTTGTAAATATGCTACGATATTGAACCTGTGAAACACTAGAAGAATAAATCCGTTCTCTTTAATGTTAAATAGCCTTAATTATAATGCAAGAAATAGCAACGTACTTTCATTGATTTCCCTATTTGGAAATTAGCTCGCTTTATTTTAAACACGAGCTAAATGCTAAAAATAGCAATGTACTTCCATTTATTTGTTTATTATAGCATCATACTTTCATTTCTTTACTATTGAGATTGTATTTTCATTTTTCTTTTAACTTGAAAAATCCAATAACTTATAGTATTTGTACTTTCATTATTTTTTTCTATTAGGATTTAGGAAATTAAACGTTGAAAAATCTACCCAATTATAGCAATGAATATTTAACTATATTCGGATGACCTTGTTATAATTGGGTAGATTTTCCTAAGTACGAGGTTGTGATTTCTTGTAGTTAATCCTTTTAAACAAATGTGAATTACAGAAGCATGAATCCAACCTGGATTCTTCTGTAGAAACCCAATTCCAATATCTTCGATCTTCAATTCCTGTTATTGACATTGCTTTGGTGGAGATTGACAAGCAAACTCTTCCAGTAACCTTATCCAACCATGCTACCTTCAACATCCCATATCTCAAAGGGTTAAATTCAAGACTCATCCATAAAAGCAAAAGGATCAACTTACTATCTGAACACTGCTCACATTATCATATATCATGAATCTTAGTCGATTATGGAAAGTGGAATTAGTTATGGAGCAGTAGTAATTAAGAAAAAAGTTTTACTTCGAACACGAATCCATGTTTAGAACTAGATTTCAAGTAAACTTACCTAATCAGCTTCAATTCCAATTGCCTAACAAAACCCTAATTGAGAATTTGAATAAAAAACCCCAAAATTACGAAATTGAAAAACAATAAAAATTGACAGCTTACCTTGTTGCCATCGTCGAACGGGACAGGGCGAGAAAGGAGAGCAAACACGTCTTTCTTACACAAGTTTTGGTACCTCTCGGGAGGCAATAGGTCGAGCAGATCTTGATAGTTATGCGGAAGCTTCGATTCCCACACGGCGTCCGACGACGCTGCGTCCCGGAAAGCACGGTTGAGGCCAGCTAGATTACATATCTCCGGCGGCGTAAGATACAAAAAAACACACGCCACGCAGCTCTCGGGTATGTCACCGAGTCCCGGTCCGTCGCCGGCGATCGGACCCCACTCGGTCAAATTAGACAACGATGAACCCATGTTGGTGTATCAACTCATTTTTGGCAGTTGATGGAGGAGTGGAGATAGGGTGTTGGACTAGTAGCAGAGAAAAAGGGGGTTTTCTGATCTTCGCAGGTTGATCGTTTGCAGCTTTCTCCCTTTCTGGTTGTATGGATTTCTTTAATTTTGCACTGATGATGAAAGTCTGTGTTTTGATTTTGTTTTTGAAGATGGGCCCACACGTTATTGGATAACGGCAACACGAGTCTCACGTCTCGGGTCGTCTTCTTCATAGAGGTGGGTGTGTAGTTGTCTATCCATTTATCAAGATTCGGTCTAGAAAAATATGACATCACATGAATAGAAATATCGGTTTGGATTGGTTTTGAAAAATATCTTAGACCGTAAAAGGGGATGTTCGAAAAAGTAGTAGAATGGCCTAAAATCCTATGGCACTCGAGTAGCGGATACATAGAATGGGACTCGTTTTAAAAAAGAAAAAAAGGCTGAGGGAGTATTCCACACGGAGCGTTTGGAAGTGTTTGAGAGCTTCTAGCTTCCATCGTTTGACAAAACGTTATGTTTTAAACAAAAAGTCTTGTTCGACATTACAAGCTTCTGATATTTAGTTTAAACAAAAAGCTTCAAATCTAAATTCTACTTCATGTAGCGTTTAACAAAACACAACAAACTACAAGCTATCCGCTACCCGCTATCAGCTAATTTTGCCGAACACGCCTTAACTTATCCATATCCCTTTTAATTCTTATCGTACCCTTAGTCATTACATTACTTTTTCTTTAACTAACCATTATTATTATATAATAATGATACCTTTTTAGTTATAATTATCAAATAATTATTCTTATTATTTCATTCTTTTAAATTATAATATTTTTTATTTTAATAAAGGTTAGGTTATTTTTTTTATTTTTTATAATTATTCTTATTTTTATAATTTATTTATTTATCTTTATTTGTGTGATTTAAAAAAAATTAATTGTTTTTAGGTTTTGTTTGAAAACATTATTTAATGTTTTGTTCGAATAAATTTTAGTGTTTTTCTATTCGTTGTATTTCTTTAATATAAAACGTTCTGATATTTTTGAAGTTCGTTTGTAACATCCGGAATCTTGAGGAATAATTGTTCGGAATAAATCCCCTTTTTAGGGGTGGACACGGCGTGTTGGAGGAACCAACACGGCGTGTCTGGATTTGAAGAAACGTGACTGTCATTAAGGCCAACATGGCGTGGTTATGCCATTGTGCGGCGTGTTGGCGGCTGGTGGAGAAAACCCTAATTTTAAAGTGTTGCACTCTATATAAGGCCTTAAGTCCTCATGGATGACCTCCTTACCAGCCTCCATTGCTACTAAAACCCTAAAATCGATATTTAAGTCTCTTGGTGGTGTTCTTGAGCTAGTAAGAAGTTCTTGGTGCTCATTTTTGGTCTTTGTGAAAGAATAGGAGATCTTGAAGTTGTCTTGCTTGATGGAAAGGTTTTGGATCCAGAATCATCTTCTTTTGTGCAAGCTTTCTAAGGTATCAAGTTTAAACCTTGACTTATAGATGTTTAGAACTCTTCATTTTGTGTCTTGTTGTGCTTTTGGTCCCTTTTTGGGTTGATGAGAGAGTGAAGTCGTTTAAGGGCTTGTTATTCTAGATCTGAGTTGGTATTGGACTCCTTGAGCATAAAGGTGCAAGTTTTATGAGATAATTGGTTACATGCATGCATTAAGTCCCTTGTTAAGTTTTTTTAAGCTTAAGAGCTTCATCTAGACATGCATGAACGTAAAGTTGGCAACTTTACGTGGTTTTCCAACTCAAGGAAGTCAGATCTATGTTTTGGGGCTATGTCTTTATGGATTAAGTGTTTATTGGTTAAGCCCTTGCATTATTAAGCTTTATGGATGGAGTTAAGAAACTTTTTGGGTAGTCCCGATGGATAAAGTTGGAAACTTTATCCTTTTGGACCACATTATGGTCTAAATCTGAGCTTTGGATCTCTTGGTATCGAAGAAAACAACTTAATGTGTTAAGTTGTTGAAACTCGGGCAAACACGGCGTGTTTGCAAGCCAACACGGCGTATTGGTTGGGGTTTTCCCGATTATTTGGATGATGGCGAAACACGACGTGTTTGGTCAACATGGACTGTTGACTTTGACTTTGACTAGGAGTTTGATCAGGGTTGACCTTGGGATGTTTGGGCTATGTTTGGGCCTTTTGGATTGATGAATTGGGCCTTGGCTTTGGGGGCCAAGTTATAGAGAGGGTAAAAAGGTCTTTTACCCTAGTTTAGAACACTTAGTGTGGGTCGGATCCGATTATTGATGGATGTTTAACTTGTGATTGATAGCGCGGGGATCTATCAGCCACCAGCCAGCGATTATCAGAATGATTCTGTAACACCCCCGAACCAGACGGCGGAAACGTCCGAGGGCTCGCGTGACTTAAATTGAAATATCATCACAATGAATATACATGAAACATAACATAAACATCACCATGCATTAATACATTACAACTGACCTTGTTCACATCAATTACATTGTCTGAATATTACATATCCATAGCATAAATTGTTTGAGAGTCACAAAACATAACATCCTAACATACTTGGTAATTTTCTTCAGCTTATATGTTACCTGAGAATACAAGTTATTTTGAAAACGGTCAACACATATAATGTTGGTGAGTTCATAAGCAGGTTTGATATGAAAATGTTTTTGTGTAGTTTATAAAACCCAGATAATCCGATATTTTCTGAAACGACAATTATTTACGAAATAGGTGTGATGATCCATAAGTATATGTGTGAATGATTTCAAAGCGTGTAAAAGTAGTATGTTTCTCATAATGAATTCTTGTATTATAGTTATCGAAAGTAAAAGTGAATAATGTTGTTCCCCCGGAAAACCCGATGTTTTCCTATATAAATAGTATGATCGTTTTGTATTATTGTATCGTCACAACGAATGAATATGATTTCCCATGATTACTTAGATGGTATTGGATCTCTATGTGAGTCGTTATAACCATGCATAATAATGACTATTTCGTCTGTCTTGGCATTCTAGTGAAAGTCGGTATTGAATTAAGATTTTGTCACTCTAGACTGGTCGAGTCTAACTGTAGCGAACAGCTTAGGTGTGGGGGAGTCACCCCCGTATAGATCTATACACAAACTCTCGCTCTCCCTCCAGGAGACTTTGATTATAACTACAGACTACGACCGACACTTATTGGTGTCACCCGTTATTACTCACTAAATCCAAATGAAATTGAATAACATTGTTCAACAACCTGATTTATGTTTACTTGAATAAAAGGTAAGCCTAACAGACGAAGAGAAGGGGACTACGGAGGCCCACTAAACACGTATGTTGTTATAGGCTGTCGGGTGTGCGACGGACACGTTAGCCCATCACGCATATGATTGATTTGGACCTTACTAGCAATGCAAATGGGCCACTTCGGCCCAATAACAGGTAAAAGCCATTGAGGGTCCATTAGACATGTAATTAGGTCACCGGAGGCCCAATAAACATGTGTAATTATATTGGGCCCAATAATCATGATATTGGGCCACAAAGGCCCAATAGCACAAATAGAAGGTTTTCGGCCCAGTCACTAAATCACTTATGTTCTATCGAGTTTAAGTTCGTATTGTTGGTATTTGTTGTATGCTAAATGTTTATTTGCAATGTAAAAAAAATACCTTAACGTTTGATTTATAACGAAGCTTTTCGTTATATATATGTATATATTTTTAAAGCCATGCGTTATAACTTGATACTTTTAACCCAAACATTTATAATTGTTTATTTGGCCCAAAAACATTTAGATTGACCACTGTGGCCCCTTTTTCTATAAAAATGGCACTTTTAGTCCCTTTTTATGAAAATTGGCATTTTTGGTCCTTAAACCATTTTTCTTGACATTTTCCACCCAAACTTTATTTGAATAGTAATTTCAGCCCATAACTATTGCATTTGTCATTTCCAGCCTCTATTTGTAAAAAGTTTACATTTTTGGCCCGATTTCCGTAAGTTTTACAATTTTGACCCCAAAATCAAAAACTTTGCATTTTTAGTCCAATTTGGTAATAAAATCATTTTCAACCCCTGAAATAGTTGATTTACTTATTAGACTCATAGTTTGTTAAGTTTTACATTTCAGCCCCTCAAAACTTCATTTTTTTCGCAACCTTGGGCCCAAAAACTCGTGAGGCCCAATTTAAAGCCCAATAAGCTAAAATTTATTTTTTTGACCCTTTGAAAAGTATTATTTTCATAAAAATCAGCTTTTATACAAATAAATACCTTATAACCCTCATAAAACCGATAATTATCCATTTACACCCAATCTTTGTAATTTTTGCAAAAATGACACTTGTAAAGTTCTTTGGCTTTGTTTTTCACTTTTTAAACTTAAGGACCCTTAGATCTATGATGTATGTTGTTTATTATGTTTTTGTTTATGATTCTTTCACCATTTTTGCTATAGATCTCGAAATATCACAAGTATTACATATTATCGCAACCAAAAACTAAAGAAATCACACATAACATGCAAACACACATAGATCATCACATAATACTTGTATTCTCCCCCAAAAACAAGTAAAAACCGAAAACAAGGGAGTATGAACTCACCTTTGCTTGTTGTTCTCGGTTTTAAAGAAGAATAGAAGAAGATTAGGAAGTTCTCGGCCCTAGTAAGCTCCTTGTGGTGATTCTTGCACTTAGATGGTTCTAAGGAAGTATGATCATGAAATGAAGCCATATAAGAGAGTATTCTTATCTTAAGAATAAAAATCAAGGCTTATGTATGATAACAAATTACCAAGGATGGTGATACTTAATGAAGAACTCTTGGGATCACACACCAAAATCACAAAAATAACAAAGAAGGAAGAGAGTTTTCCTTGATCTTGAAGGAGAGTATGAGTGAGTTTGAAAATGAATTGTTGGTGTGTGTTTGTGGAGCTCTCGGCCGAGAGTGATAAGAAGAGAGGGGAGAGAGTCTTGAGGTGATAGATGCATGGGAATATGAGAACATTGCCTTGTTATCCTACATACAAAAGTGAGGTGTCCCCCCCCCCCCTTTAATCATCCATTAATCTCATTTTTTTACTTGGGCCGAAATGGGCCAAAGGGGAAAGAGGTGAAGTTTGGTTTGGCCCAATTCTTTCTTTAGTTCGAAAATTATGAAGTATATAAAGAAAATTTTCCGGCCCATTGGGCCTTTAGGGGTGTTCACGGCCCAATTGTATAAAGAAATGGGTTTTATGGCCCATTAAGGCTTATTAGAGTAGTTTCTTCCATTTTAGGCCCAATATGGCCCA